CATTCTTATTAGTTATTATTTATGGGAAATGTTTTGTATGCATGTGGATGTGACTGTGAGGCACTTATTTGTGAGGAACAGATTCCGCTTCGTTTTGAACACACAAGGGGGTGTGACCTCAGGTTTATGTTTCTTCCAAATTAAGCCTAAATCATTAGAAAAACACACACACACAAGGAAGTGTGACCTCAGGCTTTTCCGGAACTTGCAGCGGCCACCTGCCATTGGAGTGGCGCTGCTCGCAAGGGTTTGACTTCTAGACATCTTAATACCTTAAGACGGGGTACCAGCTGGTTCCTATTTAGGTCTCTAGATGCACTGTCAGGGGTCATTTTTAAACAAGAATTGGCCCAAGATTCCAAAGGGCATCCATCTTTAACCAACCAGAAAAAGGGTAAAATTGAAATATATATATATATATATATATCATGTGATATCATATGTGAACACTCTAACACATTACTTGGATGACCTAGATCACCGCTCCGCTCATGGAGACCAATTTGACGAGCTAAGTTAATTTGGTTTAGATTAATTGATTGATGTTAAAAATCCTTTATTTATTTAGATTTAAAAGATTGACACTTTCAATATATAAAGTCATTGGGAATGATGCATATTTTCACCTTCAATTCTTGGATGATTGCATGCTTATTGCAAATGGATTACAGGATTAATGCCCACTTGATTTCAGGCCAACTTATTGAATATAGGAAATCTGCATTGCTGGTTTACAAAAACTCGAACCCCAAAAATTGAGAAATTCACGGTGAAGAACCTTGGGCACATTCCTTTAACACTGTATGTTAATAATAGAGCCAATCCAGAAATTTATAAAGAAGGGAGGAAGCTCATTCTCATTAATTCAGTAACATAGTAACATACATGTAGTATATGTTTGGTATCGATGCTACAGTAGTATATGAATGGATTGGATGGGGCATGCCCTTACCAAATCCGATTCGATCCGTTTGCAGCCTAAATGGGCTGCAAATCGAGTTTGTGAAAAATATTTGAGTAGATTTCGATTATGGAAAAAAAAAGTGCCGTTGAACTAGTGATAAAAGACTCGAAGGTTGGAGCAGACGGTTGAACCAGTGACCTTTCAGGGTCCCTGTTAAATGATGGTTTTGATAGTTTGAACAGAGTAATGAGTAGGGAGATTGGATCAACTTCAATTCCAGTAACAATTAAAAATGAGTCCATGTGGTAACATTCGAATTCGAACAACTTCGGATTAACTAGCGTAACAGAGGAACCTTACAACAAAATGAAAATTTTCAGAGAAACTCCTATGGTCATATGAATTTAGGCTCCGTTTGGTTTGCATGTAGGAATAGGAATGGGAATGGGACATTCTGATTTCAATTATTTGATTGAGTGGAATTAGAATCTCATTCTCATTCCTGCTGGAATGCCATTCTCTGCCCCTTTTTGAGAATGAAATTTTATTCTTGTTTATTCTAATTCTCATTCTTATTCTTGTTTATTCTAATTCTCATTCTTATTCTTGTTTATTCTAATTCCCATTCTTATTCTTGTCTGAACCAAACAGATTATGAGAATAGACCATTCTGGTTTCAATTCCAAAAGATTTTGATTCCAAATCTGATTGCAGGCCAAACAGACTATGAGAATAAACCATTCTGATTCCGATTCCCAAAGATTTCAATTCCAAGTCCAACTGCAAACTAACGACACCCTTAACTAACTTCTTTCTCCTCTTCTTCAAGTGCCTGATTGCCACAAAGAAATGAATTCCTTGATTTTCTTCCCTTCAATGAAAAATTAGAGTATTGGTAAAAAATTAATGTGATGATGAACAAGAAAAAGCTTGTGAATGTTTGGGAGGGTTTTTTTTTTTTTACACAGAGGCTTTGGCTTTGAAAAATGAGCCCCACATGAACAGCTTATAAGCCATGTTCAGTGAAAACCCGGAAAGAAAAGCCCAAATACACAGACGTTTATCCAAAAAAGATGGCTTTCCACTGAAGCTTATTTTAATAATTTCTTCAAAGTGGTTCAGCCCTCTCAAATGAGCCGTAGGATAAGATTGTGGGCACCATGAGAATTGAGAACAGAACCCATTAAGTAACCAGTCTAAATTTTGGAATAGTAGAAATGAACTGACCTTACTCTCATTACAGATAAGCAACCAGTCTAAAATTCAAAATATGGCCAACTATATGCCAGTTTTATATGAACTCAGGAACGCTGATGAACAGAATGGCTTTAGTTGGAAACAAGGAAGCCATGCATGTGCACGCACAAGAAGAACAGCTGCAAGGTCCCCAGGAGTCACCCACCAACCATTTTAAAATAGAAGTTAAAAAGATCAACCAATTAAAATTAATAATAGCAGATTCCAGACTCCGGATCCAGTGCCTTTGCATTCAAAGCATTTTTTTTTTTTTTAATTCAGTTTTGTTTTGCTTTAACTCTACTGGTTTTATCATATCTTCGGACAGGTTTCTGGTTTGCATTCAAATTTCAAATTAAGCAATGGTAACCCATTGCTGTATTAAATGAATTCAAAACAAAAGCAAACCCCTAATTAATTTCTCAAAGAAAGAAAGAAAAAAAAATTAGGGGTGCAATTTGATGCCCGTTTGAGAGGCTTTTACACAGCGGCTTCTGGCATTGCTTAAGCCAACAAATTTGGAAAGTCGAAAAAAAAAGAAGCCTTACATAAGCCCCCCAAAAAAATCAGGTTTCTGGTGAAGCTACATACTATGTAATTTCTAAGAGTGGCTCAATCAATACAGCTCAATCACCTCCCCAAACGGGCTCTTAGGCCGGACCGTGGTCATTCAAGTCTAATAAAACTTAAAATTCTTTTATTTAAAAGCCAATTTTCATCAATAAAATGACTGGTAATACAAATATAACTTATGTTAAATTTAGAAGTCCAAATATTAGAAGTAATTGCAACTTTGGAATTAAGATTTGATAACATATAAATTAAATTTTGTTTATATGAATAAAAAATTTTTAAAGCATATAACCTAATAGTATTCCTAGAAACTTTTTTAAATTATGGATTTACAGAATTATGTAACCATTTTTTAAGTTTAGTATCTTCACCTAACAAAAATGATTGTTTAGCATGTATAAAGTATTTTGCTAATTATTGCCTCATTCTTTTAGCATATTTAAAAGTACCCCCCTCCGTGCCCAATTTATGTTTGTGTTGTTTCTTCTTCTTCTTCTTCTTCTTCTCATGGGTGAGCAAATGTCAAATGGCCAATACCACCCTTTCTATAATAGCTAAAATCTTTCCTACGTTTTTAGCAAACAACTCTTTTTCCCTTCCCCTAAATCTCCTCTACTTTAAATATTTTCCAAACCGAATTAGTCAACTTAGTGGCCTTCTTTTTCTTTCCCCTAGCATCAGTACCAGGGGTGGAAATTCTGTCAATATCAATAGCATCCATATTGGTGCTAATACTACCATGTTGTGACTAAATATCGTCGACATTGAACATGTTGGGGAATTGGTCTAGGGAGGAGCCGACCATTTTTTTTTTAATTCAAAAAAATAAAAATTAATTTAGTTGCACTTACCTGAATTGTTGGTTCGGAATCCCAACTTGATTTCAACGATTGAAGCCTTTCAACTCCAAGAATCCAAGCCTCCCAAATTGCTAACTTGAGATACTTAAGCTATTGATCAAGCGTTCTTCTTGTTGAAACTTCAATAAAGTTGAGAATTGGAGAATCAGAGAATATATGAGAGATTGAGACTTGAGAGAGTATGAGAAATAAAGAAGATATTAAGAGAATTGTTAAATTGATGTGATGAGAATGGTGGAGGATATGACTATTTGTAAGAATTGAAAATAATTTAATTGCCCAAAATACCCTAAAAACTAGTCATTTTTAGTTGTTGGGAGGGGTATTTTGGTCTTATAAAGTTATTTATCAATTTATCCAAAATGCCCCAAACTAGCTATTATTATATAGCTAGTTTGGGGGGCATTTATGTTATTCTTTCTCCCCCAAAACCAAAATACATTAATACCCCCCTATATAGCTATTTATAGTTGTTGGGGGTATTTCTGTAAAAAACTACCCAAAAAGTTTAAACCGAGAACCATAGGGGTGTACAATCGATCAGTTCGGCTTAAACCGAGAACCTAACCAACTATTCGGTTTTATCATTTCCTTTAATCGAACTGAACCGACCCTAACCGAATTCGATTTGATTTGGTTTGGTTTTCGATTTGGTTGGACCCTGGTTCCACAAAAATGACCATCATTTAATAAGTGTTATTAATGAAAAGTTAAAATGGTCCCAAAACCCAATGGTTTTAATTAATTAACTATTAACTATTATTAATTAAAAGTTAAAATGACTCCAAAGCCCAATGGTTTTAATTAATTAGCTATTATTAATTAAAAGCTAAAATAGGCCCCCTATGGTAATAGGGAATTGACGAATTGGCCATTTTAAAAAATAATTAATGATTAATGACTAATAAACAATTAATATTGAGTCTAGGTTTTAATTAACTATTATTAACTGTTTATTAGAAAATATAATAATTAATTAGCATAAATTATTAAATAAAACATTAATGTTTAACTTAACCAAATAACAGTATTAATTTGGTTTTTGGTTCGATTCGGTTGAAAATTTTAGTCAAATCGAATTGAAACAAAAAACCGAATTGTACCAATAGCCGACCGAATTAACCAAATCGAATTAGCTTATTTGGTTTGGTTCGGTTCAATTTTTGGTTTATCAGTCGAATTTGAACACCCTTATTGGGTCATGCCGATACATAAGCCACAAGCAATACGACGTATCGGCCCGTGAACCTGGAACCCCAGGCCCAGTAACCATCGTGCTGGGCCTGACACGGCACGTAGGCACGCCCGTGTGCCACTGTACCATCGTGCCGTATCGGGCCGCGGGCAGCACGGCCCGATTTAGACCTCCGGTCAAGGAAGGGTTGGATTTTTGTAGAATGGTCGTCTGGACGTGAGGCCCAGACTTGGAAATTATTCGGATTACATAGCAAAGAAAGAAAAACGGGTTGCGTCTCGGCGTCTATGGAAGGCCACAATACATTCTTCTCAGTTCTGACTTCTGAATAGTAAAACATAAGAGGATAGCGGATTTGAGAGAGCCCGGCCGTGGTCTCTCCTTTGCCTCCCCTGGTTTTGGGATCACTCGCTACTCTCTATTGGGTTTTGCCAAAACTTCGATCATAAGAGGTATTTGAGAGCAATTATAGGAGATGGCGGGAGCAAGTAGAAAGATATCAGCTGCATCAGCTAGGGCACATACAAGAAAAGCAAAGCAGTGTAGCTTATTCCGATTTCCTTCAGGTGGGTTTTCTTTGTTTTTCATGTTTCTTTCGATTTTCTGATGTTGCGTCGCATTGAATTCTTGTTTTTTCAGATCAATCTCTTACGTTCTGTCACTGAGCTTCTATCTGATTCGTGGGTTCACTTTCATTTTTAATTTTTTTTTATTAATTTCGGGATATGTCAATCTGTCTGAATTTACCATACCTGTCAGAATATTTGGAAAAGAAGACCCGTTTTGATTTGATGCTAACCTTAGTGTTTTTCCACTTGTTTTCATGCTAATCTGACTCTTTTGAAGATAAATTGATGTCAAATCGCCGAGTTAGGGAGGGATAGAATCTGATTCCAGAATCGCGGTTTCTTTGTTTATTTATTTTTTATTTAATTCTGAGCTAGTGAAGTCGTTGTTTCATATTAATCTAATACTGAACTTCGGATTTCCTCCAACAAAAAATTCAAGGTTCAAGTTACTAGTTATGTAGTTATGATGTAAAATCAACATTTTCAGGTCTGCTTAAGAAAATATCAGTTGTCTTGTTCGTTGGACTTCTGGCATGGGCTTATCAGGCCATCAAACCACCACCTCCGAAGATCTGTGGCTCTCCAGATGGCCCACCTATTACAGCGCCTCGAATAAAACTCAGTGATGGTAGGCATTTGGCTTACAAAGAGATTGGTGTCCCAAAAGATAAGGCCAAGTATAAGATTATCTTCGTTCATGGCTTTGATTCTTGCAGACATCATGCTATACCGATATCTCCGGTTTGTATTTGTTCTTTTGTTATTCTATTCCTTTCTATTCCCACATTGCTAATTCTTTTGGGTTTCATGATATGAAGTCACGTTATATTAATTTCATGGTGGTTTTGTTCCAGGAAGTTGTTGAAGAACTAGGAATTTATGTGTTGTCTTTTGACAGAGCTGGATATGGAGAGAGTGATCCTAATCCAAAACGAACAGTGAAGAGTATAGCTTTGGATATTGAAGAACTTGCTGATCAGTTAGGATTGGGATCAAAGTTTTATGTAATAGGATTTTCTATGGGTGGACAACTGATTTGGACCTGCCTCAAATACATTCCTCACCGGTATGCATTTGTAGTTAATGGATACTTGGATGTCTGCCATCTCCATAGTAGTGTGGCTTCTACTTTMTATTCTCATGTGGGAACTTTGATATTGTTAGGTTGGCTGGAGCAGCACTAGTTGCACCAGTTATCAACTACTGGTGGCCTAGCCTTCCTGCCAATTTGTCTAAGGAGGCCTATCAACAGCAACATCCGCAGGACCAATGGGCAATTAGGGTGGCTCATTATGCTCCGTGGCTTACATACTGGTGGAACACTCAGAAATGGTTTCCTGCTTCCAGCGTTATACACCAGAACCCTGATGTTTTTTCTAGACAAGATAAAGATCTCTTATCTAAGCTTTCAACGGGGAAAGAGAGCATGGTATTTATTCTTACACACATCCCCCTTTTAATCTATTTTACCTTCTGACAAAAAGATAATGTCCATAAGAAAAATAATAAACTAAGAATTAGTTACATAGAGAATTATGTAGAGAATCATTGTATGTTTGAAAACACATATAACCTGTCTGCAGGCATGTGTGTCCTTTGTGTTTGCACTGCAAGAGAAAAGATTTGTTCAGTCTATGATCTTAGAGAAATCCCATCAGCACCCTATGTAGTCCATTGGATAGAAAATTTTTAGTGATATTCCTAATTTGAACTTTTTTCTCTGGTGGTAATAATTGTAAATATTCTTTATCTCAGGTACATGATGTCAGGCAGCAAGGTGAATTTGAATCCCTTCATCGTGATATGATGATTAGTTTTGGGACTTGGAATTTTGACCCTGTGGATCTTGAGAACCCATTTTCAAACAATGAGGGTTCAGTCCACTTATGGATGGGAGATGAAGATAGGCTTGTGCCTATAAGTCTACAACGTTACATCGCTGGAAAACTCCCATGGATTCACTACCATGAGTTACCAGGTTCAGGTCACATATTCCCACTGATTCCTGGTATGAGTGATACTATTGTAAGGTCACTTTTACTTGGAGATAAATAGGCTACTTCAGGTACACCAGGCTAGATCATCCTTTTTTAGTTCTTTCTTTTCTTTTCTTTTCTTTTGTATTTGCATGTCTGTATTTCATTTCCTTCTCTTATCAATTTTTGACTTCCATTTAGTGTTCTTCCCATCTTTTTTGATGAGATATGTTTTAGCTGGTATAGCTCCTATATCTGTTGTTGAATGAAAATGGGATGTGAAAATTGATGAGTCAAATTTGATATTTTGTTGTTGTATTGATGAACTCATTTTGATTGATGGCATGGTTATTTTTCTGATGAGAATATTCCACTAAAGATACATGTCTTTACTCTTTACAGCTTATACAGAAACATAGCTGTTGAGCTTAGAGACCCAGTCCATTACTTGGTTTACATAATTGAGGTTTATTATGATCAGTGGGTCAACTTGTATAGGTTCAAGCATTGCCAAATTCTAAGAAGATAGGAAAAGGTTGAGAACCAGTACCTATATCCAACTAAATATCTTCAATCTCATAAAAGAACTCTTACCATTAATTTATTGATCTCTGCTTCTAACCGTTATTTGCCATATGAAGCTGTTTGTTATGCTATGATCAATTATTCTGCTGATTGTTGACTTAGGTGACCTTGATGAGACTTGTTAATTTAAAATGCTGGTGCTGTCTTCTAGCATTATTAACTTAGCTTGCAGTACATATGCTGGATCAGCCTAGAGATGTCATTGGGTTGGGTCTGGTTCAGGACAGGCTGTTCCAGTCCCAAACCAATTAATAATTGGTTGACCCAGTACCTTCCCATTTATTAATCGGAACAATTGGATCTGACCTGATTATACTTGAGATCTATAATTAATCTTTTTTGATAATATAACATTAAATAAAAATGATTATGTTGATACAATCCAAGGAATTGGAGAGTTGTTTTGAAGAGGAGGGGGTGTGGGAGGCATTTAAGGAGATGGAAGGAGATAAAGCTCCCGGTCCTGATGGTGTCACAATAGCCTTTTACATGCGTTGCTGGGAATTTATAAAAGGAATCTACTAAAGTTGTTTGAAGCATTTCATTCTTCTGCAGCCTTAGAGAGAAGCTTAAATTATACATTCATCAATGTGAATATGTGATTCCAAAGAAGAAAGGGGCAATGGAATTGAAAGACTTCAGGCCTATAAGCCTTATAAGATTGTAGCCAAAGTTTTAGCTAAGAGACTAAAGAATGTATTGAGTGAAAAAATCTCAGACAATAAAGGGGCTTTTGTGGACAGTAGGCCGATGGTTGATGGGGTGTTGGTAGCAAATAAGATGATTGATGCTATACATAAAAGTGGAAGGAACGTGTTGTTATGCAAAATTGAATTAGAGAAGGCATACAACCATGTGAATTGGTAGTTTCTTGACTATATCTTGAGGAGAATGAATTTTGGCTCTAAATGGAGGATGGATAAAGGTGTGCATCTCCACTCCCCTTTTTTCAGTTTTGATGAATGTGGCAGCAACTGGAAGCATCAAACGTTCTAGAGAATTAGAAAAGGGGACCCACTTTCTCCATTCTTGTTCATTTGTGTTATAGAGCCTTGAACAAGATGTGGTGAAGTAAGCAGCAATGGGAGGTTCAGTGGAAGGCTTTGTAGTGGGGCGGAGTGAGTGAAAGTGGCATTGCTTCAATATTGCAGATGGTGTTATCTATTGAAGGTGCTAACAATAAAAGGTTATCTTAAGAAATGGATCAATAGAGATTAGAAAACCAATATTTTATACATACTCTTTGAATAGATAACATTGAGTGAGACTCGTATATGATTGGTATTGGTTTCTCAGACATATGCTCAATATGGACAAGTGGGTCCATCAATGGCAGATATAGTTCCAACCCATTCTGGTTAATTGAGATGGATATCCTTTGAAGCTAAATCAGATTGAATTTGGACTTTAGAATATGACCTGTTCTCTTGTCAAACAAATCAAATTTTTCCCAATCCAACTCTCTCTCTCTCCTCCCAAAAATTGCTTTCATGTTCTTTATTCTAACCTCTTTCCAAAAATTTTATATTCTCTCTTTTTCTATGTTATTTGAACCCAAATGCTTCCATTTCATGTTTGAGATACTAGAGTTCTGGAGGGACAAAGACTTAACACTTTGACTTCGGCATGTTATATGGATTTTTTCACATGTTCTAATTCTGTGATGGGATTAAGCATTATACATGCTTGAGGGAATTGTTAATTGAAGCATTTAGTATATGCTAGAAGCAATTGTTATAGTATTATTCTTGATCACAGAAATGATTGAGAAGGGCATGAGATATGCTTGAAGATATGATTGAGAGGGATTGAATCTACAGGCTAACAGGTTTACTGTGTAATATTTGTCATGTCAAGGAGGCATCAATCTGGTGGCTGATGTGGTGCTTTATCTTTGTCAATTAAATATGTTATCTCTTCTGGTTTCTCATACAGGGAAAGATGAGATACTCCTGAGACTGTAAGAACATTCTGAAACAAACAATTCAAAAATCTTCCTGCCCATTTTCCCCTGCTCAAACAAACTCTTACACTGCAAGAACTTTCAAGGAGTGTTTTACAACATGAATGTTCTTGTTTTTATTTGTTTTTAAAACCACCACGTCAGCAAAAAAAAAAAAAGAAAACGTTCTTCAACTGTTTTTAAAAATAAATTTTTGACTGCAAAGATCATATGATTTATTAGACATGATAACAGATTATCAGATGAAAACATGTTTTCCAAACCAGAAACTCRAGAAGATGTTTCCGGTTTTGGTTTTGGAAATAAAGAACACATATACAACCACAGATGTTATTATTATTATTATTATTATTATTTTTTTTGCATTTTGTTTTAAGAACCAATTCTTTTCAAACCAGATGGTTTTTGAACGTATCAGGTGTTACCTACCCCCTAGTCCCCATTGCACTGGATTGGATGATTCAATCTGTAGTCAATCCAGGTCTTACTGCTTTGGATTGGATTGAACCCCCTAATTTAGAATATCAGGTTGGATCTTGCTTCTCAGATCTGTTTGGAAGTCTGTTATACCAGTATACCACCTCCAGGCTGAGTTGGTAAGATTGGGTCAGAGTTTGGGATATTGTTAAGAATTTGGTGGTCGATGGTTGTAAGTTGATTAACCATGTAAGTGAACGGGGACCAATTGAAATGTGGGTTATCCAATCTTCGATTTATTAACATCCTGATCGGCGTGATGGAACTGGACAAAAAATTGTGGTAGTACGCCTGGAATGCCCATGTTTTCTCTCGGCAATAATCAATGGTGGATGCTTCCATTGAACAAGAAATTGATTTTCCAAATAGAAATCAAACCCCCTATTTCATATGCACATTGTCAACAGAAGAGCGCCACCATTTTATCCTTCTATAATTTTCGATTGTCCATGCAGTTTGGGGATTAATAAATGTATCGATGGGTATCTGACAAGCTTTGCATATGCATATGGGTTATGGGGAGTTGGGGACATGGCGGAAATATTTTAAGTATCAATATTTATCGCATTATATCGTGATTATTGTATTGGTATCGAGATTCTTGGGTACGATAAATGGTTCCAAATGTTAATTCCCATCCTCAATTATCTCTTTGCGAATTATCATACTGAAAAGTTAGAAAAATATATAATATTTCTTCTTCGCACAATGTGCAACTTTTTTTTGTATTGTGCATATCAATATTTTAAATATTTTAATAATTTATATAAACTGATAAAGTATTAATATTTAGCATTGGTCATATTATCCAACGTCCAAGATGATGCCTTATCATTGCACCGCTGGCAGCAATGGGTTGTTTTCTGAGAAAACATTGAATTTGGCATTTCTTTAGACCACACTTTCCTGATTTTCAAAGCGTGATCTGATATCATGAAGAAGTGGTTTTAATTAATTAGATGATACCATGATCCCACCATTCTTTTTCTGCTATGGAGGAAGGAAACAAAATAACTAAGTGTTGCTTTAAGAATTGAAAAGAAATAGAGAATTACCATAGCAATGTCAAAACCCCATAGAAGGTTGCATATTATTTTTTTTAAATAGTATTTGTGTTGTACTTGGGAATTCAGCAACCTATGGGACTCCTTTAAGAACAAACTCATACGAGACTCCCATGACGGATTGGCTCAGCTACTAGAAACATTCAAGATTTGCATGTCGGCAATCCATCTTACTCCACAAAGCATAGCATGAAAGAATGTATCTATCCACATATGTGAACTTCCGTGCCAAACAAATTGGTACGTGTCGCACGACTTGGAAATTTTCAGTTTAATGAACTATGGTCAACTGCATGTCATGCAAGTCGGGTATCTTCTCAACACCCACAATCTGAACAAGATCTCCACAAACATTCAACTCAAGTTCCCATCCAACATTGAAATCAATATCATCGAGGACATTGGCACCATATGGAGCTCTGTCACCTCATGTGAATTTTTAAGCCAAATAAGTGGATTTAATTTATATGGTAGTCTTTACAAATTAATATGGGCCTCTATGAGACCAAGGCCCAAGTCTATATAAATATCACTTAGTGGCCCAAGGATCCAAATGTACCAAGTCAAATTGGGCCCATGTCCTATTATAATAGAGTGGTCCCATTGGCAAAATTAAACTCCTACATAATGGTGCATGTATGGAAGTTAAGCCTAACCTAATACACACTCACATGGGATTGGTTAGCAAAGTGGGTTGAAGTGGCAGTCTTCATCATTGGCTATAAATAGCCTTGCCTAGGAAGAAAGAGGTTCCCCTTTTTTTTCACATGCTTGCATTGCAAGAAGCTCTCATAAACCAACATCGAGGATTGCAAGCAACCACAAGCTCCTGCAAACTCCATCAATTTCAAGATCAAGAGAGAAGAAAGAATGAAAAAGATTCTTAGTTTTCTAAAACACACTTAGATTCAAGTTCTCCAAAGAAGATCAAGCCACTACAAAAGGGTCATTCTTAGAGAAGCATCCTTTATAGTCAATCAAGCATGAATCCTAGAGTGAAGAAATCTACATCAATTCTTCAAAAGTATCAAATTCAAAGAAATCTACATCAACACCTTAAGAAATATGAGAAACATGCCAACAACCCTTTGTCTTCACCAAATTCGACTATTAATCARAAGTTGCTCACGTCATCGAGTAAAAATCAAAGAGAGTTCAATTCCATTGTATTTTATTTATTACAATTTTATTTTTGTAATTTATTTCCATATTTTGTGTTAATCAAAATACACGAAATTTGTGTCAGCACTCGAAAAACGACATCAATGCCA